CGCGCTCTTTACAGCGCGCGCCCCCTCCTCAGTCTCTCTTCCTTTCACTCCCTGCCGCAACCCTGCCATAGCCGGGCTCCCCTCACCGGCTTAGGAAAAGGGCGCACAGCGCAACCAACAGCAAGGCCAACAGCGCGGCGAAGAACAGGGTCATTACAGCCCCGGCCCAGCCCGGCCTGGCTCCAGCCCCCGCCCTGCCGGCATACCCCCCCGCCTGCCACTACGGCTACGTGCTGCGCCGCCGCCGGCCGACCAGCCGCGCGCGCAGAGACAGCACGGGACCAGGAAGCGTTGGCGCGCGTGCGCCCCGCCCCCCGCAGCCCTCCAGCCAACAGCTGTCTCCTTGTCCCGCCCCGCCCGGCGCCGGCGATCCGACAGGGCCGACCCGCTGCAAGCGCGAAGTCTGGGCGTGGCTTCAGACGAAGAATGCCGGGGAGCGGACCTCGCGCGAACTGCCACACACGCCCCGCCCCTGGGCGCACCCTTCCGTTCCCGGAACTGTGGGAATCTACTCCTATCCTTGGCTGCCAGTGGACCTCGTTGGCTCTTTTTGGCCGCGGAACATTCATTCCCGGGATGGTTAGTCTACTTGGCCACTTAGGGCTTGAACCGAGGATATTACGCACCCCTAGGCCCTACGAAGTAGTTTTCCTATCTTACTTAGAGGCCTTGTCTGAAAATCACTGAGGAAACCAAGAGGTTAATTATACGGCCTCAAAAATACCACCTCCTTCCGTCCAGTAAGGAATGAGTGTTTTATTCATTCACTGTTTGAATACTGTTCTAGTCAATTTGTATTGGACTCATGCGGGCAGCACCATTCTAAATTCTTAATTGGAGAAATTGTCAGTGTCTACTGTGCGTAGTGCAATCTGGGATGCCACAAGTAGACGTTTTTCTGGCCCGTCAGCAACAGCTTACCTGGGAAGCAAAATTATTACACAAAATAGAGAATTTGGGTCAACTTTATTTTGCATGTTTCCTTCTTTGTGAAATAAGGGTATTGGACAAAGGTCCCTTCTAACTCTAGCACAGTGATGCTAATCCAGTACAAGCTGAAGAAATTCTGAGGATTTCAAAATAAGTAGCTTACATACCTTTGTTCTCACATCCTAATCTTTATAAACATCCTTCAAAATTTTACAAAAGACTGTCTTTTCCATGCCTTCAGATAATGCACAATTTCACCTTTCACCTGGGTTGCCCAAAGTTGTTTGTACCCCGCCACTGGTTTCCATCTTTCTCTAGTCCTTTCATGAGTCATTTCACATCTCTGAGGCTCCACCACTGTTTCTTTCTAGTTCATATTTACTCTCAAACACTATATTTCCACCATACTTGTAATCTGAAACCTCTCATCAGGGTATGTTCTGTGAGCCTTCAGGGAAGGCCCAACTGTCCCAAAGTTCACCTTAGTACTTGTTTTCGCTAACAGAAAGAAATCAAAAGAGGATTTTTGCTCTTACAAAAAAAATTGCCATACTAATGTAGGTCTTTCACAAAAGTAAAGTGCTGCATAACACAAACTTTCAGAAAACAGGGGATACCTATATCCCCAAATGTTCTACCTTAACTCCCTAAAGCTAAAAGAAGAAAAAAATATAAGCTTCTAAAATAAAAAGGCCTATGAAATGCCAAAAGACATGTGAAAAGATACTCAACTTCACTAGCTATTAGGGAAATGCAAATCAAAACTATGATGGTACCATTTCACACCTGTTAGAATGGCTATCATCAACAGGACCAAGTAATAAGTATTGGAGAGGTTGTGGGCAAAAAGGAACCCTCATACACTGCTGGTGGGAATGCAAATTGGTATAACCAAAAAATTAAGAATTGAATCACCATATGATCCAGCAATCCCTCTCTTGGGTATTTACCCAAAAAATTTGAAAACATTTATCAACAAAGACATATGCACCCCAATGTGAATAACAGCATTATTTACGGAGGCCAGGACATAAAAGCAACCAAAGTGTCCTACAATCGATAACTAGATAAAGATGTGGTACATATATACAATGGATTATTATACTCAGCCATAAGAAAATCCTGCCATTTGCGACAACATGGATGGAGCTTGAAATAATCATACTAAGCAAAGTAAGACAGAAAAAGTTGAAAACCATATGATTTCACCCATTTGGAATATAAAATGGAAAGCAACAATCAAACATGACAAACAGAGACTCATGGACACGGATGGTGGATTAGTGGTTGCCAGAGGGAAGAGGATATGGGGGAAGGTAGATAGGGGTAAAGGGGCCAAATAGTTGGTGAAGAAAGGAAATCTAAATTTGGGTGGTGAACACACATTGTAATATATATACAACATACTGGTGAATTGTACACTTGAAACTTACTTGATTTCATTAACCAATGTGACCTCCATATTTTTCAATTAAATAAATAAAAATAAATAAAAAGGCCTGCTAGTACAAGCAGATGGCAGAAATGGCTGTTCACCACTGTCATGCTCAAAGGACAAACTTTCTGGAATTGACTAGCAAAGGAAAGGAAAGAATGAAGTGAGCATAGGACAAAAGTTTTCTACCCACCTTTTCAGAGAAAGATATCACATTTGTCCAAAAAGAGTAGTTATCTTCCAAGAGCTAAACACAATTGTAGTGCAGTTAAAAAAAAAAAAAAAAAAATGTGCCAGACACTGCTGGATTCCCATTCTCAAATTACTTACTAGCTTTAAGAATTTGGGCAGTATTGGTAAAACTAGTTATCTATCCCACATCTGTGAAGATTAAATGATTTAAGATCTGCACTATGGTGCCTAGTAATTAGTGAATAAATGTAGGTTCCTTTTTCTATTCCTACCCCTTTCTCTCAACTGCAGAAACAGATCAAGTAAAACATTTCATTGGCTATTTATTAAGCTGTATTTTTTGAGAGTCTTTAGCCGTAATTAGTAAAGATGGGAGAGAAGTGAAAGCAAAGAGAGAAAAAAATTGGATGCAAGTAAGGCTGTCGAAATGACCCACACTAAAGGTTCCCAGCATCTCAAAAGAATGATAGCAATGACTCTCAGGACTCAAGGATTAATCAGACCTTGAACTAGCACATCAAATAAATGACAACATAGTGACTAACAATTTTTTTTTTTTTTTTATCATTTTGGAGAAAGAAAGCAGGGAAAACGTCATACATATTAATAATCCATGATGCCAAGCTTCTGAAGAGCAAAAATTTTCTAGCTAGGAGGGATGTCTTCCTCAGTTTCTGTCTCATCAATATGAATAAAAAGCTTCTACTCCTTCACCAACAAGTCTTGTATCAGAAAGAACTGACCCAAGTCTGGGAAAACAACCAATTCAAGTGTGACAGGCTGAAGCTTCCAAACACAGCCACTGTCTTCTGTCATGCATCTTCATCTCAGTGGTGACACGGCCAATGCCCAGGGAACCTGTGGCAGGGATCCCAGGCCGAAGCAGCAGCAGATGTCTATGAACACTGTGTGGTGACAGTAGCTTACAGCCTCTAGACTCATAGCTCAGCATGGTGAGCTTCTGCCTTCAACAACTCACTGGGCTTCATGAAGATGCCTTCCATGGCTTTCCAATAGTTGTTCTGGCTTGGCTGGGCCATGCCATGTACCTCTTTTTGCCCACTGATAGGTCGACCATATTGTTCTCCTGTAACAGACAGCAGAACCTCGGTGGAAGAATGCTTGAAACGCACCTCACCATCCCTCACCCAGTAGGGCCCATTACAGAGCACTGTCCAGTCATCAAGATAGTCGCCTTCACCTTCTTCACCAAAAGCACTCACTTCCTGGAAGACAAAGATGGTAGCAATATTAGCATGGCTGACACATAGGCTTGGAAAGGGGAGGGAGGTGATGGGAAGCAAAATAAAACCACCCAAAAGAAAAATGAGAGGCCGAGTATTGTTTAAAAATAATTAAATAATTTAAACTGGAAAAAAGATAAAAAGATATAAAATCAGTTGCCTTCAGATTATGGTCCAAACACTTGTTTTGCAAGTAACCCTTTATTTGCCTAATATTTTCTATTATAGTCTTAAAATACTTTATAACTCTTATTTGACTTTAAACACTCCAGCCTCATTCCCTTAACTAGATTTTAAGTGACCTGGTGAGAAACACAAGTTGGAAAGGAGATGGGCTCTGGACACAAGCAGACCTTGACTCTCGACTCTATCCTTTCCTATGTAACTCCTTTGAGCCTTCATTTTTTCCTCTATAAAATGATGACATATCACCTTACTGAAAAACTATGAGAATTAAATAAAATAAAACATATTAATTGAGCAAGTTCTAGCAGATTATATCTTCCACTCCTCTTCTTCTCCCATTCCCCTTAAGGCCAAATATTCAGAGTTCCTATCATAATAAAAAGTTACTGATTATTTCAGAAATACATAATGTAATTACACAATAGCTATATAATTTTAAATGATAAAAACAGTCATTTGAAAACAGTATGCAAGACTAAAGGCAAAAGAAATGGCACAAAATTAACAATTCTACTACTATATTAGTATACTAGAATTGAACAAGGAAGTAAACAGATGACAGTGGAGCCAGGTATCTCACTGCTAGAGTGGGATTTACAAATAAGCAAAGGGAGGAGGCTAGACAATCTCTGTGGTAATGGACTAGAGTTGGAGATATTACTAAAACTCATGTTTAACTTAATATAGATACATACAGTTACACATATAAACATTTATAGATACGTATATATTTGTTTACATACATATTTCATTCTTCTGTCAGATGAGAGGGCCTAAAAGAAACAACACCCCAGGAGCAACAAGCTCATGTAGGGCCCAGATCTTGGTTTCCAATACCACTTTCCAATAAAAGAAAGCAGGGCTCCTTGGAAAATAGTTGCTTCTAGGACTGGGGCAAGAAATACACAAGATGAACCTGGAATATCTTTTAGTGCCAGAAAGTAAGGAAGTGTTAAAACATACCAACACACAAATACACTGATAGCACTATGTCAAATGGAGAAGGGGAGACAACTGAAAGAGCTCCCAAGAGCAGAAGTTGGAACAATTTGAGTAACTAAATAAAGACAGTGGTACTAAATTATAACTCAAAGTATAAAATAAACATCCATGAGTCCATACTGATATAAAAGATTGAATAAATAAATAGAGAAGAGATAAATCTCCCATACAGAAGAATTCCAAATAAATCATGTAGTACTCTATCTTCAAGGAGGGGGAGCATAATTTTCCATTTTTTCAGTATGGGCTGTGCAAAGTGACTTCTTTCCAAAGCACAGTATGGAAAGGACAAAAATGTAGAGAATAACTTTACCTGAGAAACCTGACAAACACTACTTCAGCCAACTAATCAGTATCAATAGTCATAAATTATGTAGATAGTATGTATCCTTGGTACAATTGATGAAAATGGTCCTTTATCTCTGTGATCTTCCTCCCAAAAATCTTTATAAATCTGGTCTAATCATGGAAAAAAAAATCAAATTCCAACAGAGGAGCACCCTATAATATATCTGACCAGCAATCCTCAAAAATGTCAAGGTCATCAAAAACAAGAAGAATCTGAGAACTGTCACAGCCAAAAGGAGCTTAAGGAGACATGACAACTAAATATAATGTGGTATTCTGGAGAGAATCCCGGAACAGAAAAAGGACAGTAGGTAAAAACTAAAGAAATTGGGATAATTTAAAGACTTTAGTTGATAATAATGTATCAATATTGCTTTATGAACTATAGCAAATTTACCATACTAATATAAGATGTTAATAGGGAAAACAATGTGCAGAGTGGGAGGGAAGAAGTCATTAAGGGATCCCACACCCTCCAAAAGTTCAAAAAGTGGCTCATTACCTAATTCATTTTCCTAATGGGGTCAATTGGCATCATTGAAAAACAGAATAATTTTTATTCCAAGTTTGGAAAACATTGGGTTTCTTTATTGTAACTTATGCTACAATAAGTTACAATATCAGGGTAACTTATGCTATGCTAACGTACACCTATTCTGTCTTTCCTCCTCATTTCTTCATTTGATGTAGATGTAAAGCCTCCATTTTGACCAGAAACAATTTTTTTCACTTATGAGTCAGAGCCAATTCTCCAGGTCTGCACAAAAGAGAACATCTACACCTGGAAAAGAAAGAGCTAAGAACCATGATTTCAAACAACTCATCTGAGTAAAAGCACAGAGCAGTAATGATCCACGGGATGCCAACTCACCTGGTTTCCAGAAAGAGGTGAGGTGAAATGGTGACTATGGAGGTTTCGGCCAGTGTTGACATGTGTCAACCGGATGGGCTGGCCACATCTGACAGGGGTTCCCCTCTCACACACTGTGGCTGTCTTCCCCCGTATCCTCCAGTAACTATTGCTGTCATCCACAGAGGTTACACCTGTCACTGACTGCTGCCCACTGCCTGCAATAGAAAAAAAAAAGTGTGAGTTCAACCAGACCTCCCTCTTTCCTCTGGCCAATATTGTGCCCCATGACATAAAAGAGGCTTGGAGGAGTGAGGATGAAACCCTATACTTGGTATTTTTTTTTCTTCTACAACATTAAAATATATATGAGAAATACTAAATATATTTACATAGTATTAGTTATTGTATGAAGTTATATTTAAGAGTGTACCATATCAGAAAATTCCATGAATTTGCATCGAAAGGGCACTAAATAAATGACCACACATGTTTTTTTGAAGCACAGGCAGCATGTACTTGTATCTGTTAGCCTGGACAACATCGAGTATATGTCAGATGTCTAATCACATAATTTTAACATGTTCAGTAATATTTATTCAATGTTTACTATGTATTATAATAAAAAAAATCACATTACGCAATTAAAATGAGACCAGTTTTTGCTGTCATCTTTAATACAAGCAGCCATTACAGCTCCTGAATTTCTCTAAGTGATGTACCAATATATTATAGAAGTATTCTTAAGTCATTTAAATTTGGTTAATACTGCCTAAAGTGGTATAATTCTGCAAGGTAAAAAGTACTGGGTTAAATATGTAGCTACAGACTTAAAAAAAGTAATTGCTAGCTACCTAATGTGTACTAAGCACTTATGAGGCATCAGACACTAACCCAAGCCTTTTGCCTGAATAATCTCATTTAATACATGCATCTATTCTCTGAGGTGCGTATTAGAAAGCAGTGTTAGAATGGCTGAATAGTATGCTCAAGGTCACTCAATTCCAAGAGACTGTGCTGGGATTTGAATCAGGGTGGCCTGACTCTATTACTCACATTTTTAACCACTCTACCACACGGCCTCTCACAAAGCTTTCTTTTTTTAAATAGATTTTTGAGTTTTACTGAAATCTTACATGAACAAGAAATTGGAACAAATTGTCATAGCTTTGACATTTAAGCCAAATAAATTTTGTAGGGCAGATTTCAAAAAGTGTGAAGTTATAACAATTTTAAAACACAGTTAACCTAGTTCTAGAAAGGTAAGACATATAATCATAGGTTATTTTCAATGTAAGAAAACTTAAATTTGTTTGCTTTAATTTCTTAAAACTACTAAGACAAAGCACTAGCTTGTATTTTTATTTACAGCATCCTCCATACTCCTATGTAATCTATCTCAAATCCAAAAAACGAAACTGTCCAAAACCAAAGGTTCTGCAAAATCATGATTTAACAGTGTGCTCAGCTTGTTTTGAAGTTAAAATGAAGCCTGAAACAATGAAAGTATTGTAACCCCCAGAATAAGGGAACTCTGCAAGCCCAGTAATGTCCAAGAGCATTTATGAAAAGAAGAAAAAAAACAAAAAGACTTGAGGATATATACAATAGCCATGATTTCTTCAGCCCAATACAAATGGCAGCAAATTGCTACTTAAAGATGAAACAGTTAAGCCAATTCTTTTTTGAAGAATGTAAATCTAGAGCCAATTGTATCTTGCCAATATCATTTCAAGCCCTCCCTTGTCTATTTTCACTGTTGCCCATAAGTATCCTGAAAAAAATTCCTGGTTGTCATTATTGTAACCATAGTTACCAGAATAGTCACCACCTTGCTGAAGTGGCTGCTGAGCGATGGGTTGGGAACCCCAGTTCTGTTGGTTGTTGGTCTGACAGCACTTGGAATCAAGAGAAAGGCAGATGGTCTGGTTGTACCCATCTGCCTTTCTCTTGCCTCCAACACTGCCCCCATGACTGACCTGAGCTCCGCTGGAACGACAGCCTCTCGTTGTGCAGGACCCCTCTGCTACTCCTAGAGCCTCTTCGTGCCCCCGCTCTGTGAATAGCCACCTCTACCTCTTGGAGGTGGTGCTCCCTACCCCCTTGGTGATGGTAGAGCACCTCATCCTCCTTTCGTCCTCCCCTTCCTCTTACTGCATAGCCATCATCATAGCCGTAGTAGAGATCGTCATAGCCTTCATGATAGTTGTGATAATCATAATCATAGTAATCGTCATAGCAATCTTCATTGCCATAGTATTCGGGAGCATAGCTATATGCACCTCTCCCTCAACCATGACCCCGACTTCAAATTGGAGGTGGCATGCGAGGAGGAGGGTGATAGTAATAATCTTTATACACAGTGCTTCTGGAGGTCCTGTCTAGCAGCTTGGCTCTTTTCCTTTTGTCTGGTGGCTTGGCTAAGACTATTTCTTCCTCTTCTATTTCTTTGCCATTCCTTTCATCCATGGCCTTAACAGCTGCTCCTCTGTCTTCAAAATGAACAAATGTATAATCTTCCAACTTCTTTATTCTTTCAAGTTTTCCAAATTCAGAAAGCGACTTTTCCAGTATTTCTTCTGTCATTGTAGTAGGCAAGTTTCTCACAGCACAAATAAAGCTTTCACCTTAGCCATAACTTTTAGATACGGCTCTTCCACAGGGTCAGCCCATTCAACTGTAACTACATTTCCCCATATTTTTACTTTTCTACTCATCAGGCAGTACCTGGCTTGTGCTGCTGACTTGTGATCCTCATATTCAAGGAAGCAGAACTTCCTTTTCTTCTTTTTGTCATTGGGCTGATTATAGAGAATAACATCCACCAAACCCTCTGTGACTTTACTGAATTCTTCCAGAATGTTTTCTTTAGTCTTCAGAAATGATCCAACAAAAAGCCTGTTGTTTGCCACAGAAATGCACACTCCAAGATGTTTACCAGGGTGAATTTTGTAGGTGTCACACAGTTTAACAGCTTCCTGTGCAGCTTCCTTTCCACAGGTGATAAATGCATACTCTCTGTTCTGACCAGGCAATGAATACATCATAAAATGTAGATCCCAAATGGGACCAGTCTTTTCAAAAAGGGGCACCAACTCACCCTCATATATATCTCTTAGTATTTTACCCACAAAGACTGTTGTCAACTAGCTCCTCTGTTTTTTCGTCATTTCTCTTGGAAGAACGTAATTTCTGCTGCCCTCCCATAAGATGATTCTGTTCTAATTCCAGGTTGCATGCCAGAATACAAACTGTCTGGTGGGGAGAACCACCACACTTCCACTATCTTGTGGTTACATCCAGAGTATAACCAGTCCTCTAGAGCAAGGCCTCGATCTTTGCTTCATCAGGTCCCTTTGTTCTGAACAAGTCACTTTCCTTGAACTGTTGTAGTATAGACAGAGCTCCTTCTTCATTAAATTCTCTGAGAGCATTAATTGCTCTTTCATCAGGATCGACATAAGCTACCAATATGGGGCAAAGCAGGAGCCGACAGCCTGACCTTGAGAATCGGTGAGAGGCGTTTTGAAAATGACTAGAAATGGTGTGGGTGCCACCCCCTACCCCTCCTCATGGACAGAAACACGATCCCCCCACCTGACCCCCGCAAAGCTCTCTTTCGTCAAGTTCCCCCAAATAGACCACTCTCTCATATAAATGCCAGGGATATTATTTTCCATAGGCCTCATTCACTACACAATTCTTTGAAGGCACTCCATATCTCCCAGACACTTTCCTCAGGTCATCTTACCTATTCCTCCTACTTTTGCCTTCAGTCCATTGGCCCCACCTGACCACAGCCTTTTAATGATACTTCCTTTTTACCACTTAACACATTATGTCATGTACCACAGTTATGTGAATGAATGTAGATAAACTACCAGTTCTATTGCTTCTTTCTCTCAGCTCATAACAGTTTTTTACATCTCAAAATAAAAAAAAAAAAAAACCAAACCAAACCTTCCTCCTTACTTTTGGTTACTGCCTTACAGTTCTCTTGGCCCTCACTGCCATGCTTCACTAAATCATGGTCTAATACTTTCTGTCTCCTACTTTTTCATTCTCTATTAAACCCTCCATTTCCCCTCTCACCCTTAAACCTTGAGATTACCCAGAGTTCTATCCCTGGCCCTTACCCATTTTTAAATACTTCTTGGGAGTCAAGACAAAAGCATTTATAAATGCTTTAACAAGTTTTTCAAGTGATTCAAACTGACACAAGGTTGAGAACCACAGATCATCCTGGGCAATCTCATTTACTCTACCACATCTTCAACTACCACCTGTTCAATGATGTTGAACAGATGCTCCTCGACTTACAGTTAATACACCTAACCTACCAAAAACCATAGCTTAACCTAGCTGGTTTCTACTGAATGCGTATTGTTTTTTCAGCATCATAAAGTCTAAAAACTTTAAGTCAGGGACCGTCTGTACTTACCTCTGTTATCTCAGGCTCAGCACAGATCTCTCTTCTGAGCTCCAGACTGAATCTGGTTCTCAAATCTGGCTACCCATCAAGTGCACCTGAAGAACCTTTTAAACCTACAGATTCCTACTGGCGGGACTCTTTCCACCCACATTCTGATTTGGTAGATCCAAAGTAGGAAACTAGATCAAATTCAAAAGTAATAAGCGAGACACATAGTAGGTATTCGCTGAATGGTTGCTAGGGTTATTAAGACATCCCAACAATGATAACTCAGTTCCTTTCTCAGTCTAACTGGTCAGACAGGTTTTGAGAATCCTGAACCACAGACTAGTAGAGAGAACTCCTTCCTCTCAGCTATTAGCATTATCAGTCATCCAAGATAGAAATCCAGTGGTCATCTTAGATGCCTCTTACATCTTAATTTTCTCTCTTTTTGTCTTCTTGTAACTTGCTGACTGACCACCACATCATCTGTATCCAGAACAATATCAGGCACATAGGAGCTCATTAATCTATACTGAATGGACCCATAAATAATTGCTGAATTATAAATAAACCCACATACTAAACATTTTAATTTCATACGATAAAAAATTCTCAAAAGTTTCCTCTCCAATTCCAGAGTGTTTTAGTTTAAATTCTTTACAAGAAGGGTAAGTTTTGAGTAAAAAGAGGCTACAGGAAAAGAGTTGAAGAGCAAGTGTAAGAAGTAAAAGAGCTAAAACAGAGGGTCGTATTAAAAAGAGTGAGCTCTTGGAGTTCAAGCCTTCAGAGATAACAGCACTTTAATTTTCTACATGTCTGTCTCTCACACACTAAGCAGTGCCAGCCGGTAGTAGCTGAAAGCAGGCTTTGAATTTGGACAGATTTGGGTGGAATCCCGTCTGTTATTCACCAGCTGCAAGGCTTTGGCATGCGACTTATTCCTTCATCTGTAAAATGAGGATAGCAATAGTCTCTACCTAGTAAGAATGTTATAAATCTAAAAAAGTATGTATGTAATGCATGTACCTGGCACGTAGCTGACCAGTTAGAAGCTGGTATTAAGATGCCTTAGAACAACTCAATTCTCCGACTCCCCACCTCCAGATCTCAAGAACCTCCCAGGGGCTTCCCTAACCTTCCCAGACCACGCCCCTCTGATTTTCTCTAGGCCCCGCCCCCTCCGGAGTCTATCCGGTCTACTCAGCCCACCTGATCCCGGTTAGCAGTACCTGACCCATAGCGCACGTCGTGAGAGTGCAGTCGCACGTTATGGCGCGTATTGAGTAGCTTCACCACAGAACCACATGTAACGACAGCCAGATTGGACGCTCCCACAGCACTCCACAAACCCCCGAATAACAGTAGCGATACCACAGCCATCCTGGCTGTGCAGCGAAGCCCCTAATCTTCGAAGAAAACTCTGCCCCTTCCCGGAACCGGAAGCTGCAGGCGGAACCACACAGAGGAGGAAATGAAAAAGCCCTAGTCTGGTCTGTATGGTTTCTTTGGGTAGAGCGACCTTAGGAACCCAGTAGGCCTAGTTGCTGCCGATCTGCTCGCTCCGTTCCGGGCTCTGTTCTGACAGCTACCTTCCTGAACCACTTCTGCCAGTTTTCGCGGCCCCTGGGCGAAGTCCCAATAGCCGAGTGGAAGAAGGTAGCAAGAAATGGCCCTCCCACTCCCAGTGACAGAGAGCCGGAAGTGACGTAGCACGTTGACGCAGCAGCAGCGGCGGCGGTGGCGGCGGAGGGGCCGTGCGGTGGGTCCGTACTATCCTTTCCCAGTCTCGGTTCGACGACTCCATTTTCCTCGGTGGGGGCTTAGCGCACCGGAGAAGCGGCGGGCTTCAGGTAGGTAAAGTTCGGACTGAAAAGTGCGCTCCGCGAATGGGTCAAGTGGGGAATCAGGCTCCTAGGGCCTGTTCCCGTAAGGGAAGAGGCTTTGGAGAGTCGTATGCGGGAAGAAGGGGAGCTCCTGGCCTTACCCGCTCTATGAAGGAGAAGGAGGAGGAAAGTAGGATAGTTGCTCAGAGTCTCAAGGCTTTTCCGAACCCTGTGCCACCCGGAATCCGTGAATTGGGCGGCCTGTTGTATCAACAGGCATCCTGTGGTCCTGTCCTTCTGTCGCAGCTTCTGAAAACTGGGCCACGCGAATGGATTGGAAATGGAAGGGACCTGGGGCTTCTGAGTCAGGATCAGGTGATTGAGTTGTTTGTTCTGGAGATGTGCTACCTATGGACCTTTCAGCAGCTCGGCCATGAGGCTAGAGGGCTATGCCAAATTCCATTATTTTTTTCCCATTGTTGTATAATAAAATTAGAACTTTTTGTAGATGGCCGCATCCACAAACGCCTACCACAAACATCAGAATGGGCTATTAAGTCAAAACTTTATTTCCTTTCAGTTTCTGTCTTTCTCTCTAGGCACTCCGTTGAACCAGTTCATTTCTCTTGTTTGTTGCAAGAACTGATCCTTATTTTTCTTTAAGAGGAGGCCTAAGCTCTCCAAAATGTGGCCATGGAAATTCACTGTCATATTAAATAGTAAGGGAATATTAACACCGCTGGTAACAATGAATTTGGAAGGTATAAACACTTTGAAATCAGTTAACTGCTTCCGGGCGGGGAAGGATTAGTTCCACTGTTTATCTGAAAGTTACCGGTTTTTAAATCTTCGTTGTATTAATTACAAAAGTATGGTTGCTTCCCCATCAGCTCTGAATTAGAGATCTTTTTCCATAACTGTGTCCTTTTAGCCAATACAAGTCCATTCTTATTCAGTTGGTTTATCTGGCTTCTAGATTACATTAGCATAGTATTGTTATTCCCTAAGAGGTTTAAACCTCATCAAGAGATTAATCACATCAGGAAGTGCTGCTGTCTAGAGAGAGAGGCTCAGCCACATTTTACAGTTCTCCCTCAGTAGACTTTCACAAGTAAGGAAGCCTACCTACCCTGTATGGTGGAAACGTATGGTCTTTGGAGGCAAATAAATTTGCCCTTGCTTCTTGGTCTCAGTAATGGCACCACAATCAGAATTCAGTGTATAATCCTTGGATTTTTCCTCTCGATTGTTCCCCAATAAAATCAGTCACCAGATCCTACCTCTGTATAAAAATCTCTTCTTGTCAACATACAAATTATGTTCTGGTATCCTTCTCATCCGCCTCCCAACTGCCATCTTACTTTTTAACTTCCCTTCATACGCCCATTTCTACATGTGTCAACTTTCTCGGCTTTTATTCATTCTTCAGCCTACACCAGTCTGGTTTCTCTTCTGACTACTCCATAGAAAGTGCTCTTATCAAGGTCACCAGTCACTTCTGTATTTCCAAATCCCATGGATCCTTTGTTTTCATCTTCCTCAGTGTCTGGAATATTCAACACAGTCTACTTCTTTCTTGAAACCTTTTCTTGGCTTCGTTTGACACTTCACTATGGATTTTCTCCATTTCTCTGGCTGCTCCTCAGTCTCTTTGCTAGCTGCTTTTGCTCTCTGCTTAGTCTATAAGTGTTAGATTTTCTTTATAGTTTAATCCTGGGTTCTCTGCATACTTCCTTTATGTGGTTCAATCTGGTGGCTTTAATTACCATCTGAAAGCTGGCAACTCCCAAATTTAAATCTCTAGCCTAGCCCTCTCCTGTGTTCAAGAATCGTGCACAGAATGCCTGTGTAATAGCTGCATTTATTTAGATGCCTCTTAGATATCCAAAACCTAACAAAAAAATTTTTGGTTTTCCTGTTTTTCCAAACCTGGTCTTCCTTATCTCACTGAGTAGTACTCATCCACATGATTACAAAAGCCAGACCTCGGAGAATCGTCTTGGATCCTTCTCCCTCAGTGTCCCCATCCCCAAGTCTTTTAGTAAGTTCTGTCACTTCTACTTCCAAAATATATTTCAAATCTGTCTTCTTTTCTTTTCCACCTTCATTGCTACCACCCTGTTCCAAGCCACTATCATCTTTTGCCTGGGCTACCACAGTGGTATCCTTAGTTTTCCCTGCTCCCACCCAAATGCCCATCTGGTCTGTTTTCTACATAGCAGGATCAGGTCAGGTCAGGTCATGTCATTTCCCTGTTTAAAACTTTCCAGTGGCTTTCCTCGGACTTCATAGCCCCACTTAAGCAAGCCCCTCCCTCTCACATTCATCATTCTCTAGTCACACTGGCTTTAGGACATCTACTATATGCCAAGTTCTTCCTCACCTTTTCTACAAGGAACCTCTTCACCTGGCTTTGCATACCACATCCTACCCATTCTTGATAGCTCAACCTAAACTCACCCTCTCAGAGGTGAGGGTGTTTGCTTCCTAGCACTTGTAACAAGGTCTGTATTACTTGTTTGTGGAATACAGGTATCCTAGAGGTATACAGGTATCTTGTACATGCCTGGCATGTAGTAGGCACTTAATAAATAAGTATTTGTTGAATTAGTAAGTAAATTAAGTCAGTTCTCTGTTTAAAATCCTGCAGGGGCTTTCCAACACCTTTCAAATAGAGTCCAAAATCTTAACTTATCATACCAAGATCTTTGTGACTTCACTTTCAACTCATGAACTCTTCTTTCTCGCCCCAGTCAAACTAGCCTTCACCGTTCCTGTCACAAGGCATCCTGGGCCTGGTGCTGGGAGCGCTCTTCTCCAACACCACCACTCCTCTAACCACCTCCAAAAGAGCCAGCTCCTCCACTTAGCTAATTCCTCCTCACTCTTAAAGTCTTTATTTAAAGTCACTTCCTCAAAGCCAGGATAGAGTCCTCTATTACAGGCTCTCATGGTACCTTTGTCATCGATTCTTCAAAGTCCAGTGTACTTCTAGATCAGGGGTCATGAAACTAAGGCTCCTAGGCCAACTTAGGTGATTCCCATTCATTACATGTTATCAGTGTCTGCTTATGTGCTACAGTGGCAGTTCTGACCCTCTGTAGTTTGCCAACCCCTGTGCTAGAGCAGGAACGACTCCATATGTTCCCTAGCATGTGTGGTATAAGGCTCAGTAACTGTTCCTCCTTTTGTTGCAGGGATTCTGAATCTGGTTACATATTTCAGTTGTTTCTGCTCTTTTGCCCTTTCCTTATTCCCCAGAGAAAGAAGTAGGGGTAACTAATATTTTTAAGTTACTTACGTTAGCTGTTATTAACAATAATGCTTTTTATACCCTGATAGTGAAAAGATTCTAAAATTGTTGTTTCTCATAAATGTGATGTGTATGCATGTTAAAATGATTATAGGTAAAATTAGCCTCTTCTGTATTTTAACATCTTGACCTGCTATGATTAGGATTTTTCATAACAAAGAATTCTGAATCCCAGAATTAAAAGAACTTGTCCTAAGTGGACTCTGCATACTTTTATTTATTAAACTTTTACATTTTGGGATTCCAAGTTGTATAGTCACTCATGAACACCTTTGGAAATGTCCTAGGCCCTTGCTCATTAAATACAGAATGTCTTGTAGTTTAAACTTCACACCAGACTTCTGGGGCTATTCCCCAGACCAAGACCACTAGGCCCTTTCAAACTCAGCCTTTGCTCATGTTTCCTTTTATCAAACTACCTTAACTCCTCTTGACTCAGGCATCACCTTTTCTGAGATATTCTCTGACCTCCCTTTTCATATTGCTCTCATAATCCTGGTGTATAACTATCATATAACATTTATTATACTTTATTTACAAGTTTATAAGTTTTTTGACATAGATTGTGAACTTCAGGGTAAAAAGCATAAATTAACTAATTTTTAGATACTGAATCCTAGCACAGAGCTTGACCCTTTAAAAAAGCAACACTAAATGTTAATTGAAGCTGCCAGTGGAGGGAATTAACAGACATCTCCTTTTGCTCTGGTCTCCTTTTAATTGCCTCCTACGTTATCTTGTTCCACGGGAGGGACTGCTGAGGGCCTCCCCTGTGACAGTGTGATCCCAGCTCCATTCCTCTTCCAGAGAATGTCATGGTAACTGCCAGCCTCTCCCTTTGAGCCACATCTTGTACTGCAGCTGTGCTTCTGCCTGGAGAAACCTTCCTTCACCACCCCACTCGGCTTGTTGACCTATTTCAGCAGCAAATTTAACTTACAGTCTGAATATGGGGAAAATTCAAGAGCATAAGTACGAGATACAAAAATCCAAACTACATCAGGCTCATCTCAGATATATATATAGTAATAAGTAGTGTTTTTGTTCTGGAATAGTTGCTGCTCGCCTACCTCAGCCTGCAGTGCTGCTGCAGCACCCCCTGTACATCTAGCTCCTGCAAGTTGAAGCAAGTCAAGATTGCTTCTGGCACACCTCTTTTAGCTGGAAGTCTTGGCTGTGAGCTAGATTGGAGGCATTCCCCAGCTATAGCACAGCATGTACTTTATTGCTAACCTAGGGAATGGGAGGAAAACTACATGCAGCACAGAGTACCAGCTGCCCCCGGGACAGAAGAAAGCTGTTATTTTCATCAGGTAAGCTGTCTGTTTCTCTCTGTTAAGTAGGCTGTAGGGCATCTGGTCTGCAGGAGCTGGCATT